AATCTGTAGACTCCGTCTGGTGCCGCCCCATAGGCGTTGTTATATAGATAGCCTTTTGGTGGAACAATCGTTCGTTACAGGTTAAAGTGGATCAGAATATTTTAGTGGTAAACTTTCTCCAGCATAATCACAAGAAAGTTGGTCATTATTTTAGTTAATTTTACGCATTTAGAAATTGTCACTCATTATGCGTCTATAACTTCGATTTTAACAACGAAGTTGGCTGCATTGTCATATCCAGAATAAGTTTTTTCAAACACGCCGCCCTTTGCACAGTACGCAAGGCTTTGTCGAACATGAGCAGCCCCCCCCCCGGGCCGGACCACTTAGGGTGGACCCGTTCATTCTGCACAAAGTGGCCCGTGTCAAAATGTGCCAGTTCCGCCCCCAGCACTTGACCCTCGAAATGCGGCACTGTTTCCGATGAACAGTAATCGAACATGAATGCCTTTTCTAACGACAGTTAGAGACAATGCGCCACCCTGGCCTTCACCCCATTTCCCTCTCCCCTTCTAAAATTGAGCTCCCAGTGGTCTCATTACTCCTTTTAATTTATTTAAGACGATTAATAGACTGTCACCGGTGCACGTAATGCTCATCGGAATGTCGCCCATTAGTTGTTTCCTTTCTTATTAATTTTTTCCTCGTCCACAATGGCTCTCTGACCATGCCGGACCGTAATTGATGGACTCATTCCCCTTGGGAGAACCCAGTGCGAGTTGCGGGGGCCGCCGCGCTGAACATCACCGGAGCCTTCTTGGTGCCTAAACATAGAGAAGGGACATTCCCTATGCTCAAAGTCAGGAACGCTTTTAAGAAGCAAGCGTCATAAGAGTTTTTTCTTTCTTGTAACATCTTTGGTGCTGGTCTTGACTTCATTTCATTTTGTCTCAGCCTATTTCACTTTCAAACTGCAACTTTCATCTCCTCTTATTCCTTCCATTTTTCTTATCGTCCGTATCATTCAACAACTCATTTCAAATTTGGCCGGAGTAACCAGTGGCCAACACAGGCCTTTAGGCCGGAACGCAGTCGACTTCTCTGACAGTTTATTTTGGAACCGACGTCAAAATCAACAGCTCTCCACACTTCAATAGTTGACCTTTATCTTCGTGGAAGATAATCCTAGCTAACTTCTGTTTGCATGTGGCCTTATACTCGGTGATTGTGTCTATTTACTCTGAGGATTCAGACATGCGTGATGAACTTATAATTGTTATCAAATTGACACCTCGGTGTAACCATAGTGAGGGGAAGGCACGGTAGCTAAGGGGGAAAATCATTCTGAAATGGAGGAATTTCTGTTACAGGAAGTACCTACGGCAAAACAGAATTATTAGATCCGTGAAAGGTGAGGTGATGAAGCCTACTCTTTCTTTTTAGGTTTTATACTGTTCATCCTTTCGTCATGAACTCACTGAGCTGAACAGCGAAAACCCAGGTGACTTGTCGTGAGTGCACAACCACAAGTTATAGCAAACTTTTGATTAATTTTGCGATAGCATCGAAGGACATGGTAATTATGCAATGCAGCAACCATCAATACCCCGTAAGCTACAATATACATGAATTCCACAAAATAAACCATGCATAACAATCCCATGCCCTTTCTCTAACAAATGCGCTTGCATAAGCAGTGTTTTACCTGGAATAGAAATATCTACCCTCAGCAAAGTGCGCTTCTGGACGACTGCTTGCCTACCCTAAGTAAAGTTCATACCCTAGGGTGCTATCTACTGCCGGAATTGGGGTAGGCATGCCTCCATCCCCAAAAATATGTTTTTCAAAATAACAAACAGGTGATATAGGGAACGTTTTCGCTTCCCTTCTTTCAAAAAGCGTTTGATTTCTTTAAAAAGCTCGAAAAGTTTAGCCTCGGCCTCACCCCTAAGAAAGGCCTTTAAAATGTCACATAAAGTCTTTAAAGAAATTTTAAAGGTTTTGGCCATGCAGCAAAATAGTCCCCCCCCCTCCGAAATTGGTTCAGGCTCCACTCCGGTGTTATCCCGGACCAAGTCTCCAATGTATTTCCCAATATGTTGGAGGGCAGGTTTCCTGACAGTGTTAAACATAGTTACACGAGTTGTTAAATATATTGAAGTCTATAATATTTCTACAAGGAAAGAAAAAATCCCGTCAAAATAGTTACGGCTTGGGCCACAAGACAAGTGGACGGATGGGCTGAACGAGACACTGGTAAAAATGACTGAAGTTTTTGTCATACACCGATAACTCGATCCACGTGAGGAAAAAAATGCAGGTAAGCTCACGCACACTGACTCATTGCAAGGCTTACTGATGCTGCACAGGTGTCTGCCTTTCCATTGGCTTATACCTGGAATCCCGCTATATGAACCTATTTCATTTTGTATGCGATGAGCTATTGCTGACTCACGAACTGCACAGTTGAAAATTCATTCCACAGCCGTCTGTTCATGTGGCATTTCACAGAACCCGTTCGGAACTTTCCTTCGGACTGGTCAAAGTGAACAGGGTATTGTGATTCAGATCGACTAAAAGCGCGTGGGAGTAGTAATACCATGACTAAAATAGAACTAGAGTAAAAACTCGACGAAAATCCACAGTTTTTTCAACAGGAAACAAAACAACTGCGGTGTCACTGAACGAATGCAATACCTCGTTTCCTCAACCCTGAACAGCAGGACTTTAGTTTTATTATGACCTAATATCAGGTAAAAAATGAAGCATCCCGGTGATTTGATAAGTATCTTGCGAAACAGTTTACGAAAGAGAGCTCACAACACAAATATTATTAACAATATCACAAATATCCCGGTGGGGATATTTTTCCACAAATCCAGGAAAACGTGCTGAAATTACTGAAGTTATTCAACGTAAATGTGACCAAGATTATTACCAGTGAGCTTTAGACTTAATTTACTCTAACACAATACCCCTCTGTTTTTCAGTGTTTGGTCTCTACGTACAACTTCAAGTAGACATCGGTTAAGATGGCCGTGTAATCTCAACATTTGGGGAAACCAATTTACAAATGAGTGCAATTATTTTTTGGATAACGCCGCAGGTATGTCAGCGGCCAAAAAAGCTGCAGAAGACAGAAATGGCGACATACATACTACTAATTGACATTTCCATGTAGACTCGGCCGAAATAGCCCCTACTCGAATTTGACATGATTATTGACGGTAAATGCCAGTGGACGGGACCTAGCGAGTTGCACAATCATCGTACAACATGAACTTTCCAACCCGAGGGTACGAAAAACAGACATCAGAAGAAGATATCAAGGCCTTGTGAGAAAAAAGATGACAAAACAGTGACCCTATGCAGAGCTAGCTTTGTTGTGTTGACAATACAAACAGAAGATAATCGAACTCCGTGGATATCCTAGACACCACTGGTACAGACTTGCACGAGTTGTGTTTTGCATGTTACTGTTGGCCCAATGTTAAAGGGATTTTTTCTACAATTATTTTCCTGAAAAGGTTTAATACCTTGAGAGGAATTCAGAAAAGAAAAACAAGAATAACTCTTTCTTTGAAAAAAAATAGTAATTACATCACCATCAGGTACATTTTGGCACATTTGATGATTTCAAGTTTCTTTTTATTTTCCTTTTTATTCAAAATGAAGAAAACCTCGAGAAGTACCAAAAATGAAAAGGTTCTGTGTTACAAAAATATCATGTTATTTTTTTTGGTCTTCTCTCAAAAGAACTATGCTCCAAGTTCCATTCACTTGAGAATTTGTTGGCACAATCCAAACAGAAATGTCCATAGTTCCGGATTACTTTGAAACCTCTTCAAAAGTTTCCTAGTAGATTCATACTACTTTTTTTCAAAAATAGTTTTGGCAAAAAAAGGTAACCTAATACATTCAACGGAACGCAAACCATGCAAGGGTAATCTGTCAAAGAGATGTGGGAGTATTTTCGAATGCATTTTTTTCGACATGACTTCAATTTGTCAACAAGGTGCAAGTTTGGCTCATAGTGTAGGCCTTGCACTATGAGAGTCTGACCAACATTGGATCACTACTTCATCTTATGTCATTTTGGTTTGGATTAGGTCGTGTGATTTGTAACTGTACTAAACTCAAACTTTAGAGCATAAACTTTTACAGATCTCAAATCATATTAAACATTTTCAAGTTTCTAAGTGTCACTATGCGACGTGTTTTGCTTGATAAAGTGAGTTTTCAAGCAAGGTATGAGACAGGCCGCGCGGTTGGAGCTGATATCACAAAATTAACAACATTCAATGTTGAACATGTATCCGCAGTCGACAATTTGCGCGTATTAGAAAGAAAACCCGAATTATCTTGCTAGGAATCCGGATGCAATTTGGTTCAAAGAGTTACTGGGATTAGTTTTTGTGAGACAGTTTTTCCGGGGAGAATTACACATGTCAAGTGCCAAGTCGATGTGCGAGCGCAAGTATAGCCGAGAGAAAACCGGTCGCACCAAGGGCCCACTTTCGACGACGTGCGTTGTCTGCACGCAGAACTGTCAACTGCCGCCTGACTCACTCCGACCGGAGCTCTTATATACCCTGCTAAAAATAGCCGCGGCTCTCCTCACCAAAACAAACCGGAGCGGCTGATGTACACACAAACGGAAAATTTCACACGGGCCAAGAGCTGTGTTGGGGTCAAATGGAGCGCGACAGCGAATGGGATGACTTGGCAGATATGCGCAATCCCCTACAGGGGCTATTAGCATGTCCGGGATTCGTTGCAGTGACTTTACGTCGCAGCGGGTTGCGACGTCACATCAGAGAATGAATAGCAGGCCCTTGAACCTATTGTTGAGACATGTTTTATTCATGACTACAGCGCTGTGTACAAAATGCCATAGGCACGGAGCTCCGCTCACTACGAGCGCTAGGCTGCAATGAGCCGTCTTGCCTGAGAGCGAGCCCAGCTTATATAGGGGCTAATTTTAGAAATGCAAATAGCTGGGCTTCCAGCCTTGCGATTGGCTGTTGCGGGCTGGCATGAATGAAACAGCCGGTGGATAGTATGTGATTATATTCCAAAGGCCGGCGGGAGAAACATCAGATCACACTTGAGAGCTTGTCCTAGGTAGTTCGGGCCGACTTTATCTGTTAACCTTCTTGTGAGAGAAATAAGGAACAATACCTGGATAAAAACAATGGCGCTTACGCTTGGAGACCTGTCACAACACAGCATCCACGGCATGACCAATGATGTAAGTGTTCCTCTTTTTCATTGTTTTATTTCCACCTCTCTTGTCTAATTTCATCCACAGCACGGTTTTAAAATTGTTCTCCTCATGACTCGTGGCCTCGCATGATATTATATATTCCTGTTTCTACTGATGTTTACGTTATCTTCCCCACGTGTTCTCAAGTTGCTGAATGTGAAACACGCTAAACCACCTCCATGGTGGCTAAATGTAATGTTAGACCTGCTGTGCGTCGTAGCCTAAAATAATTTACCTTCAGGTGAAATTATTAAATCTGCTTGTTTTTATTTTCTTCTTTATTAAGACTTGTTATTTGGGGGTAAACATGATGGAGGACTTCCTTTATTACTATTTAATTAACTGGGTTGCTTTTACTTAAGAAAGTCATGAAAGCGCATGGTTTGCATACAGATTGACTGGTCAAATGTGATTGCAATGGGCGATACAAGAATAATCTCGTCTGAATCTCCATTAGTACGCCTGGGTATTTGCAGTGTGTTGTGGAGCCACAATCCACTCTAACTAAAAAGCAACGGCCTCTGTGGTTGATTATGCACTGATTGAAGGGGCATGACGTTTCTAAGACGTCAAACAAACAAATTCCTACGAACCTTCCTTCGCTTATTGCAGGCTTATGTAAATCCTTCATTCATTCCTATCCACTTGTGGAATTCCCAATCTTGTTTGCTCCAACCGGCTGACAATGCTCCATTGTACAGTGGTTGCAAAGTCCTCCATGCCAGCCCATTGTTACTGCAAGACCACAAAAGCCTTAATTAAATCACTGGTGACTTGAAGGCAGCATTTTCTTATTGTCTCTGTACCCCGTTTTCTTCTCTTTGCATTTTACAGATGCTGTGGTCCGAGATGGATGATATCCTCTTGGAGAACTTCTCTGACTACCCGGAGGGCCTAGAGCAGCCTGGTTTCCCCTTGCTGATGCCCAACGGCCCTCCTCGTCCCGAGACCAGCTCGCCGACTGGCACTGTATCCAGCCTCTGCAGCAGTGATGGCGGCAGTGCCTGCGTCTCGCCTCCTCCAGCCCTTAGCGAGGAGTATACCGACCTCTTGGACCTGGACTTCATCCTGAACAACACGGTCTACGGCCAGGACGAGGAGATGCCCATTGGCATCAAGATCAAGGAGGAGCCGATGAGCCCCGCTGGGAGCAGCTGCTGCGGCAGCATGGAGGCACCATCTCCCATAGCCCTGCCCGAGATGGACAATTTCCTGAACTTGCCCGATATCTCCTTGGAGCGCTTCGCCGGGCCAGATGTGAAGCCTTTCCTGGTGCAGATGCAGCACCATCAGCCCCAGCAGACCACATTGCACCACCTAGCAACCCCACATCCCCAGCAGCAACAGCAGCAGCTGTCTCCTCCTTGCTCTCCACAGACTGTGCCGGAGCTTCCGTCCTACGCCGCCCACCACCAGATGCAAGCCAGGCAACACATGCTGATGATGTCCTTCCAACAGCAGCAGCAACAACAGCAGCAGTCGCTGCTGACGCCCCCAAACACTCCCCCGTCCTCTCCGCTCCTGGATCTGCTCCGCAACACCCCAGCCGACACCAACATGCCTCCCCCTCCGACCCCGGGAGCTCCCCAGATCGTCCGGAAGAAGGGCCGTCGTGCCTGGGGCCGCAAGCGCACCACCACTCACACCTGCACCAACCCCGGCTGTGGCAAGACCTACACCAAGAGTTCGCACCTGAAGGCCCACATGCGCACCCACACGGGCGAGAAGCCTTACCACTGCAACTGGAAGGGTTGCGGGTGGAAGTTCGCCCGCTCCGATGAGCTGACCCGCCACTACCGCAAGCACACCGGCGATCGCCCATTTCAGTGCCACCTCTGCGATAGAGCGTTCTCACGTTCAGATCACCTGTCATTGCATATGAAGCGCCACATGTGAACTTGTACGTCACAAACTCATCATGAATACTTGACACTTTGTTTAATGTTAATGTACATGCAAATTTCAAGGGTACTTTTAAAGAAACACTACCGTATCTTCATTTATGGAAATATCTCCACATGATACTTTACTTGTTTTCTTAAAACTATTTGAGTGCCTATTTGTATTTGCTGTACACTTTCGGGTGAAGTTCTCGGACTTGGTTCAATTTGGTTTTCAAACCGAAGAAATGGCCAATACCGATGAGCTACCGACGAAGCCAAATCGTGCCTGGGCCCAGTGTTCGGCAGGTTGGCTGGAGGGCGTGAGAGAGGCAGGTCTCCGTGGCATACTGGAGAAGGAATGGATTAATTTCTCCCAATTTCGACACCGTGTCGATTTGCCCCCCCAAAAGACAAAAAGTCTATACGGAGACCTGCATGCGAAGTGTTTTATAAGTTAGGAGAATGTAAACATCTGCATGAAAAATAATTTCGATCACTGTTTTGGCAGAAGTTTGTCACTTTTTTCGCTATTTTAAAAATGTTTTTCATAACTACAAGGAAGTGGCGAAAAAGTTTGAATTGTATATAAAACTGATGTTCACGAGGTAAATCCAGTTCACAACGAAAGTCTGCAGTTTGTTTCATCGGTACATTATCGCAGTGCGCAGATCAGACAAATCACAACAGTGGACACAGTACTAGTGGGATATCTTTATTTCTGACACAAACATGCCATGTTTTTGCTTTGCAGCTATTGCATACGCACGTTACGCTGATTATATAGTGCAATTTAAATACGAGTACTACTTGTAGTTTATTTTAGAGATAACTCCAACTTGGATTCAACCGGAAATTCTGGCACAGTAAAAAAAATGCATGCCCAATTTAGCACCTTATCTACATCGTTTCAGCTGGTCTGCTAGCATTATTATCCTGTGTAATTTGTGAGTAATTTTGTATGTTATCAACTCATAATTATTCCTGACCTTTGTACCTGAGATTTATAGTATTATATTGTCGTTGAATTGGCGATGTTTATTAATTGCTACCAATTGGAGAGGAACGCATTGAATAAAAGACCACTGGCTGGTCGCCCGAGAAACTGAAGAACCTGTGTGTCGATAATCTGAAAGACTTCTGTTTTTTTTATTAAAATTATTGATGGAAGTTTCAGTTTGAGGTTTTGGGTAGGAAAGGAAAAATCTCGAGATTATTATACACATTTTAACGGGGAGTAGAGAAAGATTATGTACCGTGATGAAGTGATCGTGTTCGCTATATAATTCAAATTCAAAAAAGAAAAACGTGTATATCTATTTTAGTGTGTCATTCAGTGCGCCAGGACGTCAAATTTAGTCAACTGTTGTAAGGACGAATGCTCGCTGGGGCATGGAAAAATATACATGAAGAATCATTAAAGGAGCTGAAATGCTGTCGTTCGAAGCATTTGCAGATGGGAGGGAGGGGAACAAAAGAAGCCTTGGTCTCTCCTCAAACCGGAGGCAATTATTTCTTTAATATAATTAGAGGATCTATGTGCGTGGCCATTTCATTTCCCTCCCCCCCGCAAAATGAATAAAAAGCCGCCAGATTTCGACCTACTTTTACTCCCCTAAAATTTGGATTCTGGATCTACCCTCGACTCTACTTTCATCATTGATCAACCGTTACACCTCGATATTAAAAAGTTCAGCAATAGTGCATTAGTCAAAATCCACCTCGGAAAATTCAGACATGGTAATTTTCCACATGAAGCTCCCACATTTTCCTCACACATCATCAATAACTTTCCCAATTCGGGCTGCAATGGGCAATGTGTGTTATTCTACCGAACGTGGGGTCCCGATCCTGTCCATAGGATGCTGTACGCCCACGACTCATGGCCTAGTTTCATCATATCTGTCTGCTCACATTGTTTATTGCAGCCGTTGCTAGGTTACGAGTAAATAACTCTTAGTTTCATCTGTACGCTACATATCGCGGGTGCTAACCGAAGATACCATCAAATCTGAGTTCTGCCAAATCCCATTGCCCGCAAAGTAGCGCCATGTTTGATAAAATAGGTTAATTATGTAAGTAGTTTTTACGAAGATGAACTAAAGCGTTTCGCAACTCAAAACTGGATCTGGTTTCATGAAAAAGAAACCAGTCAACCAGCACGCTAAAACAGTTCACAGCAATTTTACTCGTTTTTTATTGTGGCTAGTTCAAACTCATTAACGCAACACGTTCCCCACACTGGGCTACGCTTCTGTTCCCTATTTTTTCGGACACTTTTTTTTTTGAGGCAAACAAATTTGATTGTCTCCTAAGAATTTGTGTTTTATTCGTCAAATTCCAACACATGTAGCAGTATCCCGCGCTGTCTCTGATAGAACGATATGAACGGCAAATGCTGATTTCTATTCCCAATGCATTTATAATCATATAAGACTTAAAGGTTTTCATGGTGAAAGAAACTAGATCTATAGTAATTTTTACGTGTAGTTTGTTCCTTAATGTTGTAATCCTTACGAGGTTTGATTTGTCCTTATCCTTGTTTACTTGTGTATATTGTACTCTATGGTACTTGTAATTCTATCTCTTTTATTCATTTTAACTAATTTCACCACTGAATAATTGAGTACATTGTATCTGTGGTGTTAATAATCCTATTTTTGTTTGTTTTAACTTAATTAACTTCCCATGGCCCCATGGAAGACTACAATTATATGTGAATGGGTCTCCCTGGTATATCAAAGATAACAATAATGATAATGCTTGTGGAGCACCTTAGATCCTCTGTCACTGAAGCTGGGGACTGTTGAGGGCCTCTGTTACCAAGGATGCAACAAGAAGTAGGTGCGCCAACCCTTAATCCTCCTCAAGCCCTTCAGGGAGAAAAGTGCATGACTCGTCTTTTGTCAAGAGCTGAATAACTTTCTGATTGCCCGGCTAATCTCAGCCCTCCGCTGAGCTGCTAACAAAACACGACTTAAAACCCTTTTCGTAACTTCTCGCATTCAAAGCTCAATATCCGGAGACTTTCTGCACGTGGAAGTACATTACCAGACCGAGCTGATTTATTAAAGTATTTTATCGGGCACAGATTTCAAAGGTAATTTTTAATGAAGCTTGAGGAAAATTGTCGCCGTGCATGAGGACCATTGAGAAGTTAGAGCGGACCTTACCGCAAAGGGTCAAGATGGTCTTAACCAGTGCGTTTTATAGACACACCGACTCAGACAATCCAAACCTTAACCGAGACTGCGACATAACACTTTTAAATTTTTAATCGCAGCCACCATTTCAGAAACATCAGACCCCCCCCCTGGACCGCATGGCCCGGACACCCCTTTGTCAGCCCAGTAAAAGGCTTGCATCATAGTAGCCTACCGAGAGTTTAATTTGAGGCTTAAATCTCCATAAAAATCAACTCTACAGAATGAAACGGTTGGATGATTTGTGTTATAACATCCACGCATCGCGTCCGTTGCGCAATTCCACGCTCTTTGACTGATCACGTTTTAGGAATTTTACAGGAAAGATGCTTCACTCAGTTCCATGTTATTGTGCAATTATCCCCTAACCGTATGTCTGCCCTGCGCATTAAACCAGGTCGCCGCGATCATCCTTCATTTGCTGATCCGGGGGGGGGGGGTTGAGGCCCATGTCTACCCCCCCTCCAAAAGTCTCTTTTTCAATGAAAGAAAATATTTGGAGTTCATTGTATTTCCCTTCCGAACAATAACGTGCCCAACGCTCCCAAATATAGCATCATCTCAGAAAAACAATCAAAAGGTTAAGCAGGAAAAAAAAATTCCCACTCCCGAAAAAGTTCTGGATGAAATCTTGTCTTTGTTGATTAGTACCTCTGATCAATCACAGTGACAAAATGAAACAAATGACTCGGGGTGATGGGTCCACGATAGTTTCATTGGAATGCATGCACCGAGTATGACTATGGCTCAGCAACAAAACTGTACTGTGAAGACCCTTCAGTATACGGAGGCTATGCGGGACAGTACAAACTGATGAGCATAAACATTTTTCAATCGCCTACTACAGTCTCCGCTCACTTGACACTAAGGCTCTCTGAAAGGGCCCTTTATGGAGTTTCCCTGCATGCTGGCGATGTGTTAACCACTTGACGCCAGATGCCGTGTAAACATGCACACGGGTGGTCCTTATTTATCCCACGGAGAACGTGTACGCTCGTTTCAGAATTCTTTCAATTCCACGGTTGACGTAATAACGCGTCGTGCTTGGAGCGCAGTTGAAAGGCTGAAGAATTAATTTAATCAAAAAAGCCGTTCCCAACAGCTTTATCGGGTAAGAAAATCTGACGTTAACTGGCTATAGGGAATGTCACTGTGATTTCCCACCCTAGGATTGTACAATCAAGGTTTCCATTAATATTGGATAAATTGTGACTGCGTTTTCACAGTGGCTGCAAACTTGACACGCTAACGATTACAGCCTGTAAAGAGTGCGCCCTCATTTCATGGTATAATTAATCTGCACTTGTCAACGTGGATCTGGTACCTACAGGTAAAAATAATTAACTGGATAACTAAAACTCAAGTTGTGACCACGTAAACTTTGTGACGAAATGTCCCATACAAATTCATTTTCCCGATTTAACAAAAATTGTAAATTATTAACATCTAACAAATTCAATAAATGTCAACACAAACAGTAAGAACGAGTACATAAATACGAAATCTTTGTTTTTCAATTTGTCTTACGAACAAGAAGTTTGTCGCGGCGGATTCTGTATTGTTACCCACGTCTCGTTTATTTTCTTAGCAAGGTTTTAGCTTTAAAAATGTATTAATTGAGCTTATCCCAGCATACTAACAATGTACTACTAAATGTTAGTATACATACTAACATTTTTTATCGGAAGGAATATTTGGATTTTAATCGACAACAAGAGCTTTTTCGGCCGTTGCCCGAAACAACCAATTATAGGGAATCGCTTAAAGGATAAAAACCCGGAAAATAAACCGTGTATCCTGTAGTGAATTGTCGCATGATGGCGCTAAGCAGACTTTACAACCTCCACAAGTACACATTCCAGTAGAGCTTGTCCTTTTCAAGAGGGCGCACTCGATCGTGAAAGACGACAATGCGTGAAAGGATATCCACGCACTTCATGTCTGGTCGGTAAAAACGGCCCAATGATGTTCGTGCGTGTGCTTGCACTACATTAAACAATCGCAAAGACTGCGGATTGCCTTATAATTTTCTATTAGAGTCTACCCTAAACTACAATACTTAACTTAAAGTGCCTCCCGATAATTTTTTCTCATTAAAAAAAATTCTAGATTCGAAACCGGATAGACCGTTCTATTAACTTTCACGATTTCTATCTGAAATGCAAACGAGTCTGAGCCCGGCTGTCCGAATGATGATGCATGGTTTCTTCAGCTTGTTTTTTGCTAAGCGTCATATTTTTACGACCAGTTACATTTTTGCTGTCAAAAAACTAAGCCGTTGGTCCAGCATAAATTTAAGATGATCGGATACGCCGTAATAGCATTTGCATTGTCGTCAGTGATTTGAACGCATGTCGCAGTTTACTGGTTACAGACCTGTTCATGTTCTTATCGTCTAAGATTATTGTCATTATGGAAGAGCATACCTAATCCGGCACAATGACACATTTCCCACAAACGACAATTCCCATTGCTAGTGAAGAAATGTAGACGTACAGGGCTACCTTCGGTGTAGGATTTGCCTCCACTGAACAAAAGCCAATGTATCGCATGCATCTACGCGTATTACCATTCTGAGTGCTCTCGATTTTCCAGGTGACGCTAACGAAATCTATAATAAGGTGCAAGGAGACCCGACAGTAGATTGCGAGTGATACACCCAGCAAGA